CTCATTCTTAGAACAAACTGTACCACACTGAGAAAGGAGCTGGCAGGGCTTTAACAAAAGATTCTCTTTCTGCTTTTGGCAATATTGCTAGAGTCAAGATACAAAATGTCAAAGGAGGTCAAGTCAAGCAGCAGGTATAAACTTCACAAAGGTAGTGAGCAGAAGTAAATGACAGCCCTCTAACTGTTTTTTGAACAATAAAGCTGAAAGGAAATCGATCGTTTGTGGACCTGATACTTCCTGGTTTGCGAATGGTAAACTGGTTGTAAGGTAAAGGTAACACATATGTGCTAGTTGTTCTCGATTCTAGGGGGCGGTGCTCATCTCTGTTTCAAAGCCGAAGACCCAGCGCTGTCCAAAGACGTCTCCGTGGTCATGTGGCCAGCATGACTAAATGCCAAAGGCGCACGGAACGCTGTTACCTTCCCACCAAAGGTGGTCCCTATTTTTCTACTTGCATTTTTTACGTGCTTTCGAACTGCTAGGTTGGCAGAAGCTGAGACAAGTAACGGGAGCTCACCCCGTTATGCGGCACTAGGGATTCGAACCGCTGAACTACCAACTTTTTGATCGACAAGCTCAGCATCTTAGCCACTGAGCCACTGCGTCCCTTATTGGTTGTAGAAACCCCTATTTTCTTCAAATATTGGTAGGAATGAGGGGGGGATCATTTCTGCCAAGAAAATAACATGGACACATCGAGGTAGTCAAAAAGGCTTCACATTTTAACATTTTTGATGGAAAGATTCAGATCTCCAGCAGGATCAGAAAACTGTTTCCTGCTAATGTGATGTTCTTGTTCTGATCTAGGCTTCCCAAGACCATGAAGCAGACTCCTTGTCCTGACAAAAACCCTTTTATTAAGTTACTGTGAATTCTTCTCATTCAGATCCAGCAAAGTCTTTCAAGGGAGAATTTACAGTCACAGACCTTATCCGGCTTGGAGAGCTGCCAGGCCGATATCTTCAAAACTTGGCAAGGAGTTTCGGAGAGTCACAAACCAATTAAGCGAACTAATTGTCTCCTGCAAACTCCACTCCCCTTTTGCTCTTTTTTTTATTCCCTCTGAGAAGGGCCATTCATCGTTCACCTGTGGCCTTACTCCAAAGTCAACCCTTGTTCTTTAGCGGTTCCCTTCATCTGGCAACTCTGCGCATGCGCACACTGGGAACAGGCTCCAGCTGTTCATCTGCCACACTGATGTCTGACTCCGAAGGCAACTGATGACTGGCCTCCTCTCTGCCTCAGACGCAGAGCCCTCATCAGAGACTTCCCCAGACTCCAGGACTGGCCCATGTTCCTCCCCAACCTCCTCACTGTCCAATCTGCTGCCAGCTCTGCTGGCCGCTGGCGGGCCACAACAGTTATAACGTTCCCAGAACTTATAAATTGTGGCAATTGGGTAATTTCAAGTCTTCCTAACTTGTACTCTCCAGATATTAGGGACTTACAGGTAGTCCTCAATTTACAACAGTTCGTTTAGTGACCATTCAAAGTTACAACTGAAAAAATTATGACCATTTTTCAGAGTTACGACATCAGCATCCTCATGATCATGTAATCAAAATTCAGATGCTTGGCAATTGGTTCATATTTCTGACTGCTGCTGGATCCCATGGTCATGTGTCACTTTTTGTGACATTTTGACAAGCAAAGTCAATGGGGAAGCCGGAATCACTTAACAGCAGGATTGCTAACTAATCAGCTGCAGTGATTCACTTAACAACTGTAGCAAGAAAGGTCATAAAACGGGGCAAAACTCATTTAACAAAAGTCTCACTTAACAACAGAAATTTTGAGCTCAATTGTGGTCATAAATCAAGGACTGTCTGTGCATCTTTCAAGATCCTCAGGAAGCTTAAAAAGAACCAAATTAGAAAAAGCTGGGTTTTTCTCTGTTACTATCAGCAAGAAAAAGACCATGCAGTGCCAATGTTTATAAGAAAGATACTTAACTTTTATTTACTGAAACCTAAAGAAAAGAAAGATGGTCAGGACTAGACTATTTTTCTTCAGCATGTGAAACTCAGAAGAAACTCATTAGCTTCCTGATTTGTTCAAAAGCTTAAAAATTGGTCTTTTATCACAGTGATTTTTCTGACTTCTCCCCAATCCCTTCTAATGTTAGAATACATCTACAAGGGGTTCTCCAAATGGTAGAAACACCCAGAAGGTGTACCTAAATAAATGTGCAAGTCAGTAAACTGGAGAAGAATCAGAAACTACTTGGCTAAAATATTATTTCTCAAAGTGAAACTTACAGTTCTCTTCACTAAACTCAGCAATGAGTCCCTATGGAGACTGGATGTATACAAATAAAGAAAATAAGAAATAGCTAAACACCGAACTTTACCAAATTCTTCACTTCTTCCTTTGTGGCTATCAGTGTCCATGTTGTTTCACATATTGTGCTATGACATGGTTCACTGAATAAGCCAAAGCTGGCTGAATTCACATAATTATTAGACAAAAAATAATAAAAGACAATATAATAGAAAGATAATAGAAAGTTACCAATCAGGGACAGTTCATCAGGGGAAGGCAGATATACCCAAACATGTGAATTATCTTAATTTAGGTATATTTGTTTTAAAAGGCAGGAAATCTAAGTGGGACTTGAAGTGCATTTAATTATTATTGATTTGCATTCAGTTTTAGTCACCATGATGTAAAAAAGATGCTGAGACTCTAGAAAGAGTGCAGAGAAGAACAACAAAGATCATGAGGGGACTGGAGGCTAAAACATATGAAGAACGGTTGCAGGAACTGGTTATGTCTAGTTTAATGAAAAGAAGGACCAGGGGTGACATGATAGCAGTCTTCCAATATCTCAGGGGTTGCCACAAAGAAGAGGGAGTCAAGCTATTCTCCAAAGCACCTGAGGGCAGGACAAGAAGCAATGGGTGGAAACTAATCAAGGAGAGAAGCAACTTAGAACTAAGGAGAAATTTCCTGACATTTAAAACAATCAGTGGAACAACTTGCCTGCAGAAGTTGTGAATGCTCCAACACTGGAAGTTTTTAAGATTTTTAAGAAGACCACTTTGCCTGATGTGGTGTAGGGTTTCCTGCTAGGGCAGGGGGTTGGACTAGAAGGCCTCCAAGGTCCCTTCCAACTCTGTTATCCTATTCTATTCTATTCTTAATTTTTGCTGAAAAATCTAAGGAAAATGGATGCTTATTAATTTTAAGCAAAAAGTACATTTTATTGTAAGGGTTTGGTAAAGTCTCCTTAATGTTGACTTTGTTGCTGATAACTATATGGCCACATAATTTTCTTGGAAGCAACAAAGACATATTTTGCTTTTGGCAGGTCAGTGGAAGTCAAATTAAATGGTACTAATAACTTCTTTTCACAAAGGTTTACTGCATCTATAAATCTTTTTTAAAAAATCTCTTCAAAAGAGAAAAAAGGGCTAAAACTCTTCTACTTCCTTCCATCACATTACTGTTCCATCTTACTACAGCTAAGTTACCCACCCCTTTCTCAAATTGCAACAAGAACAATGACAAAGCAAAATGTCTCTCAGAACCTCGAGTTCAGAATAATGCACATGAAGTACTATACAGGTAATTAGCATTGCAAGATAATGAATGAATGGAGCATATATTTTTCTAGAACTGTGTCGCTCAGTCTTCACAACTTTAAGGTATTGAACTTCAACTCACCTCTTAAAGTTGTCATGGTTGAGAAATACTGTTCCCTCCCTCATCCAATGCTTAAATAGGGACGTTTGGAGTTCAATTGTTTAACTCACAGAATTTTGAAACAGGCACTATTGCTATTCCTTAAGAATCGATTTCCCTAAATAGGAAACTGCTTTACTAAGTCAGACCATTATATCAATATAACACCCTGCACTGTACACGCTAATAATGACTTTCTAGAGATTTGGGCATGGATTTAAACAGGCCTGCCAGTGACAGAACCTATGAATGTTTGTGGGCAAACATTCCATTGCAATTTAGTGATGGAGACTTTCCTTCTCTAAAAAAAAGATATTGTGTTTATTCAACCTGAAAAATTTCAGTTTAGAGCAAAGTAGCAAGAAAACTACAGTAAATAATTTCAGTCACAGTTATGTCAGCTTGTTGGCAAAGCACTGAACAATGCCAACATGCGGATTTTTATGGAACACTAAGAAAATTGGCATGAAGACAAAGGCATTGTTTTGTTGATTAGCAAGAGCGACATAGGCCTACCTGAATAGATATCAGCTATTCAAGTGCCTCCAGACAGAGGGTCAGGTGCCCTATTATTTCACCCGTATTTACCCTTAGCCTACAGTGGAATTAAAATTATCATGGGTTCCCTAAGTATCTGCTGCTTGTTGGTTTTAACAGTTGCTTTTGATTTTGCCATTATATTTATTAAGTTTTGTGATTTAAGGCTTTTCACATACCACCTTGGTTTTACTCTTAAAAATATGCAGTGTTTTGCGATCCAGAAATATTTTTTTTGAGTTCAATGCAATTTTCTCTCCGATGAATATGTGCAGAGATGCAGCCTCATTGGTAAAATTCCTACTGATGCTGAAAGAAAAATGTTTGTAGTTGCTATCTTAAGAGTAATGTTGGACTTTATCAGGAAGGTAAGTCTACAACTGTGGTTGAACTGTTGACAAAAATCCTGTGAATATACCAGTTTGGCTTTAAGAGGCGAGAAAGAGCTAACAGATGTCACCTACTTAAATGTATTTCCCCCCTATAGTCTTAATGGTGATTAAATTGACATCAAAAACATCAGTATAATAATGTTTTAACCAGCTAACTATAAATAAATAAAAAGGGAGAAATAGGAGAGTTTCTCCAATTATCAGTTTTTTAAAAAATATACGTACAATGAAATATAACTACATTTTTAAAAATCCATAAATAAAAGCTGAAATGCATTGTGTAATTATATACCATATATATTTCTATCACAAAATTATGATGATCGTTTGAAGGAGAGAATAAAGCATCAAATTAAAAAAGCAGTAAAAAAGAAAATGTGATACCTGAAAAATAAATGATTTCTCAATCTAATGCTTTTCAAATTCTCTTTTTTTCCTTTTAGGCATCATAAGATCTTTTGTGTCTTGTCAGCTGCATTCCAAATTCAGCCCTGAAAACATTAAGAAACGTCATTTTAATATAGAAATTATTATTACCATTTCAAAGGCAAGTAACTATTTCTTTATTTTTATTTACAGTTAAACACCAGAGTTTATTCTATATGTATATGTTGTATACCAGAAATTATTGTATATGTATCTATAATTATCAATCTAAAATTAATTTAGTTTTCTTTCCATTTTGATAAATGTCATTGTATTGGTTTTTTTTAAAAATGGCAAAGACTCAAACATTTCTCCTCATAATCCCATTTGTGTTAATTATTTTTATATCATACATTTTGATTCAAGCTTTCTTTGAATGCACTTTTTCAACACACTTCCTTAATATACATATATAGAATGTAGGTATCTTTATATACATGTTCTTTGCTCTGAAAACGTCACCTTAAAATTCAGAAATGTCGGAAGTTATTTATATTTTAGTTCACAAATTGACTGAGGTGGTAATAGCTAGATAACTCTAAACTGAAATGTGAACCAAATTATTTTCTTTCCCATTTCTGTTTGAAATCAGCCATACCCTTGACACTAGCTAGCATGACTCCTTAATGAACCCATCTGCAGGATAATTTGAAACAAATAACTTTTCTAGAAATATAACAGGGCATTTTGTCTGAAGTCAGAATTCATAAGGAGAGAGAAATGAACCACCAGAGGGGGAAAATGCTTGATTCAAGCATAAAGGTAAATTTTGAATAGTAATCCAATGTAATGCGCTTATTTTTTACTTTTCTCTTTTTTTATTGCTTACCTAGATGCCACTTTCCTTTTTATCTTTATCTACTTCCTTCCACCTTTCTATTTTCTGCATCATTTTGCTATCAGGTTTTTCCTTCCTACTCTATTCCCAAACTATGGGAATTGGAAATTAGCTTCCAAAGCATATATTGTATGGAAAGAAGAACCTGCAAGTGACAAGCAAACATAGATGATTTTTTGGTGATCTATGGCTATCAGAAGTCTCAGTCATCCAGGTCATGGTTGTCCCAAAGGTGCTTTTTCAGGAGGCAACTGGACTTTCTTTGTTTTTTCTTTTGAAGACGTTTCACTTCTCATCCAAGAAGCGTCTTCAGCTCTGACAGGACAGTCCAGTTGCCTCCAAAAAAAGCACCTCTGGAACTATGGCTATCAGGTGAGTTAAAAGTGTTGAAGTAGCTGTTATTTATTTAGCACATGGCATATCATACATGGACTAGCAATCTATATTAACATTTCACCTAGATTAGTAAAACACAATAAAATGTAAATGCTAAAAAGATCTATGTTCAAATACCAGTGTCTAGGCCCGTGATGGCGAACCTATGGCATGCGTGCCACCATATCGGTGGGCACGTGAGCTCAGCTCCGGCGTGCATGCGCACACTGGCCAGCTGATTTTCGGGCCTTTTGGGCCCACTGGTAGTCAGGAAAAAGACTGTTTCTGGCCTCCGGAGGGCCTCCAGGGGAGTGGGGAAGGCCATTTTTGCCCTCCCCAGCCTCCTAGAAAGGCTCTGGAGCCTGGGGAGAGTGAAAAATGGGCCTACCTTGCCATCACATGCCAAAAGTCAGGGGAGTGCGGGTGGGGGTCGCATACGCATGCGCGGGGGGTGGGGCACATAGAATTATAGGTGTGGGCATGCACGCGAGCGACCCCCTGCACTCCCCCCTTTTGGCACGCGATGGCAAAAATGTTAGCCATCACTGGTCTAGGCCATCTAACCATTGAAGCGTAGCATCATTTACATTTTTAAAAAAATCAAGATACAAGACCGGTATACACTTTCAGTTTACATGATATGATCTACAGTTTGATGTGGGACCCTGTAGCCAGAATACTCTATAGACTTTCCTGGCTCTCAAAATACATGGCAATGAAGCAGATGTTTTCACCATTTAGACCAAGATCAAATACATTCTAATTCCAAGAGATGCCAAGTATATTTCTCTTGGAGAGTTCCAAGCAGGATATGAAAGTGTCAGTCTTTCTTTCTCACTCCACCAAAGTGTGATAATCAGAATCAGTACCAGTGAATGCTCATGCTCAATTTCAATACAGTGATTAGATTTTAGAGACCACTGGGTTGATGTGGGGGGAGGCGGACAGACTAAACTGGGCAAGCATCAATTATTTAAATGCTACAAACCAGCTGCTGCCCAGGTCATTTGCTTACTGAAATTCCAAATGCCACAATCAACTAGTCAAGAAATTGTTTAGATAAAACTCATACAGCAAAAAAATAAAATAAAAATTATAAGCCTTTAGGCTAGAAATGTGCAGCTTCATTTTTATTCTGTGTTGTGTGCTTCTTCTCTCCTTTTAAAATAGCAAATTAATGCTATTTTGTGCTCTGAACAATATTTTTAAAATATTAGTTCCTTGAGGCTAAATATTACAAGAGTATATATAAAGGAAAAAAAACATTTCCTGATTATGAAAATGCAGAGGACTCAGTTCATAACGATTTCATTTCTTGTAATATACATATATGACATTTCTTAATGTAGATCATTGAGCAATATGTATTCATTGAGAGCTTCTCCTAAAGATTTAAACTCCGATTTCTAACTATAACAATTTTAAAAACTAAAGTCCAGAGCACTAGGGAAGAGAGTTCACAGAAAATAGGGATGGAGGAGATACCATACCAGTTCCTAACATTAGGAATTAAAAGACCTGCAAGTGGCAAGTCAACATGTCTGAAAGTTATTACAGATAATCTGGGAACCCCAACAGAAACTCTATGGCAGAGGTCTTCAAACTTGGCAGCTTTAAGACTTGTGGACTTCAACTCCCAGAATTCTCCAGCCAGCTTTGGCTGAAGAGAATTCTGAGAATTCTGGGAGTTGAAGTCCACAAGTCTTAAAGCTGCTAAAATTGAAGACCTCTACTCTATGGGCTAATAGCAGTTTTCTTAGGCAAAGACTAGTCCACCAGAGATGTGAGCCATCAACTCTCACAAGATAGAATACCGTTTTGAGATCAGACCTGCTTTTGACTATGGCAAGGAAAGCAAAGAGCGGATATCTTCTACATCCAAACCCCTCAAACAGAGACTCACTCTGTAGTCCTTGTCCTATCTATAATTTTCCTAATTAAAGACTAAGGAAGACAGTGTTGCTTCCTCCAAAATACAATTATTGCTCTCTCATCATATTCAATATTCAAAGCTATGCTGTTTCTGAGCATGGATGCATGGCTAGCCTTCTCCATGAATGTGACTGAAATCTCTTTAAAACATCCAAGGACAGTGTTTGGTAAGGGCAGTGAACTCTTTTATGATAATTACAGCCTGTGTAAGCACATGCTTTTCAAGGCTGTACTGAATGTCTTACCAATCAGTTGATTGGAATATTTCAACTTCCATTAGTAGGAGATAACAGGCAGCTGTGATTTTGAACAGTGTAAGAAAGGGAAGGGAGAGGACGGGGTGGCTGATGATATTTTACCCTTTTATAAACCACTACACATATTTATTAAGTTAAGCATTTCTATATGCTGCTTTTCTACTCCATACAAAGACTTGGCATTAATTTATTGGTTAGGTAATACTTGAATTTGGCTTGAAAGGGATTTTATTATGAAGCGAAGTGAACAAAAAAATAAATGAACTAGCATATATTACAGTGGAATATAACAGTGGAATAAACCAGCCCATGTAAATAAAGATAGCTCATGCTGAGTTTGCTATATTCCAGAAGATTGACCCAGTTTGAGTCAATGCAATTCAAATGCCCTGTCCATCTCTCTGCAGAAAAAGGATGGTAGCAGCAAAAGCAAACAACACATGAAAGAGGAACAAAAATATTGAAGCCTCTGTCACAATATTAATGTTGCAGCTCAGTGTTTCTCTAGCTTGGCAGCTTTAAGATCCATGGGCATGCTGGTGGAAGATTTCTGGGAGTTGAAGTCCACACAACTTCAATGGGGAAGCTTTAGCAAACTTTGTTAATGGCTATTTTATTTTTCAGTCCCATGGAATTTACCTTTCCCCATACCTTGGATCTGTAATGAAGTTTTCCATCTTGGCCCAATAAGCTGAGCTAGTGGTTGGTCACCAATAGCTCAGCTTCTATGCAAAATTAGAAGAAAATGTTCCAATGCCCATCTCTTTACATTTATTTGTGTTAATTATACCTGGTATATTATCATCCAGTGACTCAGTTCTTAAACTCTTAAATCTGCTAAATCTGTATGATTTGCTGTCATTTGAAAACTTGATACTCGTTAATCTTACCCTCAAATCCATGGCAATTATAAACATATTTAAATAAACAAGAACACCAATATAGAGCCTTGCAAATTGTCGTCCTTCACACTGTTTGTAAACTATATATTTATTTCTACTCTAGGTAAATTGCAAGCAATTAGAAAAGCAATGGGAAACAAAGTATTAGCAGGATCAGTGACAATCCACTGAAATTTACAGTAAATTCTGTTTCCATTATGATTTTTGTAAACAAAATTTGAGATTTCAGAATTCTCAACTAAATGTTGCAAGATATGGCCACATAGCCTCTCACTGAGATTAATAAAACTTGTGCAATATTTGGAAACTATTTGAAATTGAAGCCACTTTTAAATAATTGGTAGAGAATGCCCAAAGTCTACAAAATTTGTTAGTTCCTTATTCCAGATTCTGTTCTCTTAAGTCACAACTATGTTTACAGATGCTTTTAGTGAAGAACTTTGACAAATGTTTTTCACCAATTCAAAATAAAATTGCTACGTACTAGACAACAATTTCCAAGAAAATTAACCCAAGGTGATTTACTGCAGAATAAGCCTATTACATAAAAGTACAAGAGTCGATGAGTTAGTGCCTATCATTTGAGCAATGTGTTAGAAGTAAGCAACACAAGTTTAAAGAAAAATATGCCACTTTAGGGAAGACAAAATATATAACAATAGGAAAGGTTTTATACATTACTGTCTCTTGCCCACAGAAATAAAACAATGAAAAAGATAAGCTAAGATTTATAACAAACTCTCTTTTGTTTATTCTAATGC